GATAAAATTGAAAATATTTAGGGATTTCTTGGCGGTGTTGACTCCGGTTTAAACTCCGAAAAATTCTTCTCGATAAGCTCCGACTCCGACTCCGAAAACTTCAATTCGACGGTCTCCGACTCCGACACCGACTTCGAAAATTTTGCGATCGTCACCTCCGACACCGCCTCCAACTCCGGCGGAGTCCGTGTCACCGTCGGAGTTCGGTGTCACCGCAGGGCCCTACTTCTAGCTCTTTTATCATGTTGACGATGTCAGAATCGAAGACACTAATATAATCGATATATTCGTCTAACTTTCGTTAGTGCATATCTAGAAGATGAGAGGTTGATCTATTACTGTTGATGAAAGACAAGCATAATATTCCATCTGGGGTCCGCTCGGACCCCAGGTGGTGAAATGAGGGTTAAATACTACGCAAGGTTAAAAATGATCATGAAATATATATTACAATAAAATGAGAAATGAACTGGTACCAATACTGTTCACGTGTCATTTAAATGACACTCATAATATATATCTAGAATATAGTTTGTAGATCAAATATTTCTAGTATACCATTTTAAAAAACGTTCCATATTGACATAACAGATGTGTCTGTAAAAAGTTTGTTGGTGTAAAAGAAGAAAAATAGATGACTGTTGAAGACTCCTGTAGAAAACGCTAAAGAAACGTCGAATATCTCAACCATAGAGAACAAGAACAGTGGCAGTTTTCTTAGCATGAGTGATAGTTCAACAGGCGTAACAATGGCAGATAAATCAATATTCTCAAATTTAAAAAATGACATTGGTTCTCATATTAAATCAAGACTTTCACTGAAGGATGATATTCGATATTTATTACTGAAAGATCATTTTGTGCCTAGTGGAAATTTTAAGTGGCCATATTCAGAACGTAATACACACGTGACGGTTGAAAAGCGCTATTTAAATCAAAAACATCTCAAAGATAATTCGTGGCTAGTATTTTCCCTATCAAAAAATGGTTTATTTTGCCTTCCTTGTGCCCTTTTTGCAACGGGAGGTGGTGGGAAAAGTCTGAATAGTGGGAGCGAGTTAGGACAATTGGTATCTACTCCCTATCAACAATACGCCCGATTAACTGATACAATATTCCGCCACACTAACCATGATTATCACAAGGACAGTTTATTGCGTGTTGACCAATTTTTGTCGTTTTATGAGAAAAAAACGATTAGTGTTGATGATAGATTAATACAAAAAAATAAAGCGGACAAGATACAAAATAGAGAGCGATTAAAACCAATTATTAAAACAGTCATTCTATGTGGTCAAAATAACATTTCATTAAGAGGACATAGAGACGACAAACCACTCAATTTAGAATCCATTGTCAAATCTGAAGGTGATTAAGATGATCTTTTATATTAAATCATAAGTTGTTTCTATTACGTAGGTAATTTTCGAGCTTTGCTTCATTATCGTGTCGATGCTGGTGATGAAATGTTAAAAGAACATTTAATTAGTGCTCCTTAAAATGCTACTTATATCTCAAAAACAACTCAGAATGAACTGATAAATTGTTGTGGTGATTTGATACGTGAAAAACATGTAAACGAAATTAAAGAAGCTAAATTTTTTACGATTATTGGAGATGAAACAACGGATGTTAGTAATATCGAATAATTCACATTTTGCGTCAGATATGTACATAATAGTAAAATACATGAAAAATTTATTGAATTTATTCCTGCTGAAATTAGAACAGACGAAGGTTTAGCTAAATTAATACTTGAAGAATTGAATGAATTAGATCTCGATCCCAGTTTTATTGTCGGTCAGGGATATGATGGGTGCTCCGCAATGTCGGGTGAATTTAATGGTGAGATACAGGTTTCTTTCTCTTTCTAAATCGGTCTAAGCGTGATATACTGTAGGCTGTCATGCATTTATTCAACGATTATTTCCAAAAGCATTATATCTTCATTGTGTATCACACAGTCTGAATTTAGCGATCTCTGACTCATGGGTCATTATTGCAATCCAGAATTGTATTGAAACTATTAAAAACATATATAATTACTTCTATTCATCAACGAAACGAACACAGAGATTGAAAAAATTTGACTGAAAATTTTGAAAGAAAACATCTCTAAGCCTTCTGTTTATCAGATGTTATAAGTTACTAAACTTTTACTTTCTTTTGTGATGTCCTTGCTTATGCAAAATAAATTTGAACTTGAACTTGAATGTTGTGTGACACCCGCTGGATAGATCGTCACGATGCGATGATTGTATTTCGTGAGTTATATCCGTGCGTATTGCAACGTTTTGGTGAGATAACTGATACTGAGAAAAGTAAAGATGCACAATCGGCGTATAATTTATCTATTATTATGAAAGATTCAACATTCATAGTAGGATTATGTATATTAAATAAATGTTTGTCGCTGACGTTACCCGCTGCATGTAGTTACAGTCACCGGGTGGTGGTATTATGGATTGCAAACAACTAATTGATGATATAGTATTTATGTTTAAATATATTCGAAATGAGAAATTAGAACAAAATTATGAAGAAATTCTTGATGTAAGTTGTTGCGACCATAAACCGTAAACAGCACTCTTGAATATTTTAGGATGTCAGAGTTACGCGATATAACTGGTCATGAGGTGAAAATGCCGTTGATAACTGGTAGGCAGACAACTCGTTCAAATGTACCATCAACAACGCCACAAGAATATTATCGTCTTAATTTATTCATTCCAATATTAGATCATTTTATTGCTTCACTTAATGAACGATTTTTTACTCATCAGTGGTTGGTATTAAGAGTGTCTCGTTTAATCCCAGCATTCATCGAAGGAAAAACATTTGATGATATCGAAGAAGTTGTTGAAATGTATCAAGATTTGTTACATGGTTCAACAACTGTTATTAAACAAGAGTTTTTATTATATCAGAAGAAATGGATAGATATTCAGCCACCTGACCGTCCTAGTAATGTTATGGAAGCTTATCTGTCATGTAATGAAACATTTTATCCTAATATAAAAATATTATTAAACATTTATGCAACATTACCGGTAACAACCGCAACCGGTGAAAGAAGCTTTTCCATATTGAAGCGCCTAAAAACCTATTTAAGATCAACTATGTCTGAAGATCGTCTTAATGGATTAGCAATGTTAACCATAAACTCGGATATAGCTATAGATATTGATGAAGTGATAGACCGCTTTTCCAGAAAAAAAGGCGTGCTAATTTTGTTTTATGATTATGAATATTACTTTAATTCTATCCTGTGTAAAGCAAGGAAGAGTAATAAAGGAAAAGAAGTAAAAGTCGTGTCGTCTAGAAACTCCTACGCAAAGTTGCTAAACTTTGCACTTTTGTCCAAATCCGCCAGCAACGAAAAATTTTTCTGAATCCGCCACTGAAAAGATCATCTCTCACGTGACAAAGCTCAAAATTGTGAGCTAACGTCAAGAATTTGCCACAAAGATTAGCGATAGATTTTTACGAAGATTTCTTGAATGCCTATACGATATTAAAAAAGTTTTACGCATCTTTTTTTCTTTTTCGTGCTTTGTAGGGCGAGTGAATACTCACATACGGCATTTTTTTTTCTATTCACATTTGAAATAGTTTTTTCTTTCGTTCTTGTGTATTGAAAAATGAGAAACATTTGTATGCAGAACATGTCTAATCATCGAAATAAAACGGAGTAAATACAGAAAAGGTCTTTTTCTTTCTTGACACTTTTCATGTATGAGCAAAAACATCATTCGGGTTAGTTGATTTATTTCATCTGTTTAAAGTGATTTATTGCTGAGAAAGTTTCGGTTAATATATCACGTTTCCAAAGAAATAGTTCCGGAAATAAAAGACAATGTTTTAGATAATGACAAAACGAGAACCCCCGTCTCTCATCATTTCAAATCTTTGGCTTGGTTGTTTGCAAGATGCTCAAGATGTTGAATTTCTTACCACAAATGGAATACAAAATATCATTAGTATCTGCTTACAACCGCTTCCGAAACACGAAAATTGTATTCACTACCGTTTTGAAATTGAAGATAACGCCGAACCATCATCAGCTGATACACAATATTTCGTTGATCTTCTAGACAAAGCCGTGCCTGTACTTCAACAGTGCAATGGACATCCAACTCTAATTCATTGTGGAGTGGGACGTCAACGATCAGCAGCAGTTGTGGCCGCTTATTTAGCCATGAAAAAGTTCTCAGGCAATGTTGAAGAGGCTGTGTTTCATGTGATGAACAGACGGGCAACAGCGTTTCGTGTCGTTGATTCGGGAAGCGTTAAGATTAAAGTCAATTGGCAAAATGCACTGAGTGAGTTTTGTAAATCCAAGAGGTAGCAGGAAGTCATTGTTAGCTTCATTCACGAGCTAGTACAAGAACAATCTGCATAGTCAAAATTATTAATTGAAGTCTTTAAGAAAGTATCTTCTGTGAATTTTATTTTGGAAAATTGATTTTATACATAAAGTTACTCTTCTGTTCCGAATACCTGCGACTCCCAAACCACTGTACTTTAGAAAATAATGGACAAACTTTCATATCGTTTCTTACCTTTTCGTTCCACAGTATAGTTCAAAACAAACAAAGTTTTTTTTAAGTAGTTATTTAAAAATGAAAAATTGAAATGTTTATATACATTTAAAACCATTTTAAATGTATATAAATATACTATCTGGCGCTCATGAAACTAAACATTCGTTTTTTCCGTTTATCATTGTGTTTCTGAGACCTACAATCATAAACGGAAAAAACGAATGTAGGAGGTTCATATTCGATTCATTCTATTAATTTTCCAAAATGATAGCACGTTTTTATCGGATGTTCAATCGACTACTATTGTGTAGCTAATGCTCAATATATTTTTCATTCAACCTGAATTGTGCTGGATATTAATGAAGTATAACCACCAACTTTCAGATTTCTCGTATAATTTAAACCATTATTTAACAGATATATTTCTAAGAAACACGTAACGCAAACTTCAAATGAAATTTCTTTTTGACTTTACCACACATATTCTTGTTCAACGCGTCGAGCTGATCACGAATGTCACCCTCCCAGTCTGCAAGAAAAATTCACAATACTGGGAAAGCCTCAAAAATCGCTAAATCTTTCGTTTTGAAAAAAGGTTCTACAGTTTTTTTCCGGCTTGAGCTGTAAGATTGCGCTTGCTATATTTGGATTCCTTATTGAAACCTGCATCCAGCCAAGGTGGCTTCAAGTTCGCACACGCTAATATAAAACTGTGTAGCAGCTCGAAAGGGATAGCAGTGTGAATTAGACACCCCTTGCTCAAAAATCCCACTAGTTTTTTGTGTGAAAAGATATCGTCTTATGTCACACACCAAAAGAACCACCTTCAAAAGAGCTTCAAAAATATAGAGAATTTTTTTAAAAAAAGATCTTCAGAATATGATTGACGTTGACCGCTAAACGCGATTATAAGAGCGAAAAAGCATATTTCCGTTAATGGGTTTCCAGAAACTCTTTTGGAAAACCTCAGGATTTTGTAAGTTTTCTTTTAAGATCTCCGATAAATAGAACTCCTACAAAAACAAAACGTGATCTTTTTCTAAGCAATAGATTCTAAGAATACAAATTACAAAATATTATACACAGAATATGTGCACTAAGTGTAATCTATTAATTTATAAGAAAATGAGCTACTTATAAGACAAGTGTAACTAGATTATGTTATCATATAAAATTCAGACAAAATTTTTCTCAAATAGATCAGTCTCTTATAAGTGATCACTTTTACGTCCAGTCTGAATAAATGAAACTTCAAGACACTTATAATTCGGAACATTGATACATTTTTCACAAAAAGGTTTCTTCTACTTTTTAAGAAATAGAGCTGTCAATCAATATCAAAGATAAAAGCTGGTAAAATAGATCCGTTTTCATTTAATTGTAGTGATTTTACTGGAAAAAAAATGTGGAACTTGGGCTTCTCTGACTATGATGTTCCGAAAAGTGATCAAGGAAGTCACGTTGGTCATTCCAAATTCGCGCAATTTTTAAAATTAAACTGAAATCCATACATTTTACTAACTTTAGTCTCTGATATTGAGATCTCTATATCTTAAAAACTAAAAGATACCTTTTTCCAAAAAATAGCTTAGCATGGAGTACAACTTGTGTACTCCAACTGGCGCAAAACTGGAGAAGGGTACCTTCGAATTTGTTAACTTTTTACTCTGGGAAGTTGCCAGAATAAACACTAATTTCATGGTGAAGGGAATCTTTCTTTTGAATAAAACGATAAAATTTGTTCTATTCTCCATTTTTTGCTTTATATCTGTGTCTCTATAGTATGCATAGAAAGATGAAAACATCAAAGTTTCATCTAGCTGAACTAGTGCGTGGATTAGATAGAAGTGAAAATGGACCCTTACAGTTAATTTAATTCTTATTCTGGAAGTTGGCAGAATATAGGATGTGCACGATTATGTTACGTTTACATAACTCAGAGGATATAAACGATGCAGAATTAAGACTATCATGACCCGAAGAGAAAGCCGGAAAGTCATGCTAGTCAAGAACTCCTTAACTTTCGCTTGTTAATTGGCAGAGAAAATACATCTATGTCTCATATTCAGCTCCGTTATAGACAGCCCTGTATCTCATAAAGTAGACTGTACCCTTTTCTAAAAAATGGCTTGGCGTATAGTATATCTTGTGTACTTCAAACTGACATAGAAAAAGGAGAGATGTAACGGATGGGCATCTCATGCAGTCATCATCTGATGCAGTTTTTCTTGCTCATTAAACCTATCATATTTTTAGACAGTCAAAATCCTTTCCAACGCTCCTGGAAGCCTTTTGCCAAACTAAAACCTTCTTCCTTTCAACGAAATTGCCTAACT